TGTTTAATTGTTTAATCCTTCCTCTTATTGTGATTAAAATTTTGCTAAAATTTGGCGAAAAAAAAAAAGGACAATAGTTTTTTTGAGAAATTATAATTTTTTTTTCCAATATTATGTTTTACAAATATATGATTAAGTAAATTCTCTATGGAATGGTTTTCTGAAATGTTATCCTATTCAAAACAAAAAAAAAAAATTTTTTTTTCAAATTCATCTTCCATTTTTGTCCTTATTATTGAAATTTCTGATAAACAAAAAAAAAAAAAGAAGAAAAGAAAAATAGATGTTCGTTTTTTTTGTCAACAATGTTTTCGTTTGTTTTGCTTTTTTCTTTTTCTTTTTTTTTTTTTTTTTCTAAAGAAAAATTTAAGCAATAATTTAAAANAAAAAAAAAAAAAAAAAATGAATGAATTCAGTTTTTAAAAACTATTATTGCACGCAAATACATTTTTTTTCTTTTTACTAACATGAATGATAAATAATACAGTAAAGTAATTTAATAAAAATAGAAAATTAATGAATTAAAGATTAATAAACTCTTAGAAATCTTTTTTTTTTTTTACGAAAAGAAAAATGGTAAAGTATGAAAAGGCTGGAAAAAGTAATCAGATAAATATCGTAAATAAGAAAAAAAAGAAAAAATTGCGCCCAACTAATTTTGTTCAACTTTTTTGGATGATTGCTATTCGTTAAATGGTCAGTTGTTGTGAAAAAAGTTGAAAAGAATTAGGCTTCTATTTATTGACCAATGCTAACAACTAAAGAAGATAATGCAGCTTCATGTAGAGGCCATCGATTTTAGCATATTTATTCTCAAATTTTATGATTGCTTTATCTTGCATTCAAAAAATATGTTATAAGAACAAACATCAAACAATGACCATAATATTTTTATAATGTAAATTCTCCTAAGGGAAATACTACGGTTTCTTTCTCGAGATTGATGTCATTAATTATCACATATTTGTCGCATACGTAGTAATCACATTATGAAAGAAATGGTTTGTGATAACGTTAGCAATCCAAATTTGCTATAAAAACGTGCTCTATGATTCCTTTCTCGAGATGAATCACACTGATTGATATATCATTTTCGTATTATCAATCTGATCAAGCAATGATTTGATCTATTTTTACTCGTATTATTATTGTCATCATCATTATTATTATCGTTGTCGTTGTTATTGTTGTTATCATTATTGTTATTATTGTTGTTATTGTCAATGCTTTTGTTGTTGCTACTCCTATTATTAACATTGTTGTTATTGCTATTAATATCATTTTTGTTATTCGTTATCTTTATTATTATGATTAGTTTATGCAAAAAAAATTGATTAATGAAATGGTAAATTGAATAAAATGTCAGTAAGACTATTACCGCCATATTGTTCCTACCTATATGCTACTACGTTGATTATTTGAAGCTAAAAAAAAAAGGAAAAAATTTTGTGGCCCAATAATCAAAATTTAAATGATTATTTGTAGGATTAACAATTGATTGTATTTCATTCATTGCACTTTTGATTTCCTATTATAATTATTTTTGTAATTTATTGCTTTTTCACTTATGCGGCTTTTATTTTTTAATTTCATTTTATTTTTGAATATTTCTTCCCTTTTCATCTTACTGTATTTGGAATTTTTCGTCGATTACATGCTCCACTGGGATACAGTATCCTGTCGACTAGAAGAATTATACAGTACTTTGGATGAATTTTTCGAGAGAAAAAATATCTCTGGAGAATGTTAAAAAGGGAAATGGGCACAATTGATAGCGAGGTAGCAAAGGAAATTTGGTATAACTGATAATGGAATAGCATTCAAAAATTGGCCAGAACAGGGATTGACAACAAAGAGAAGTCGATAGCCAAGAATGGTATAGTAAATATATGTAAGCAAAGAAAACTTAGAATTTGATGTAGCAAATACATTTGTATTTTATATGGTTAATGATTAGACAATTAACATAATGCTAATATCATATGATCATTGATCATTACGTCGACTGCTAAAATAATTATTATTAAGTGGTATCACAGCAATGTTTTGATGACGTTTAATACCCAATAAATTAAATAAAGCTTTACGAAATGGTGGTAAAACGAAAATTGTACATGAAACCATCACTGTTGTACGAATCTGTAATTAATGAAATGAATGTAATTGAAAAAAAACAATGGAATTGAAATGAAATTTTTTACATTTTCCAATTATTTATTAAAAGAGTAAAAGAAAACGAAGAAATGATTAGAACATACCTTTAAGGAAATATTATTAATTAATGATATAATTCCTATAATTTTATAGTCCATACCAATGAATAAAGCAATAGCAGTCGCTGAAAAATTTTTTTTAAAAAAGTTTGAGTCAATTTGTTTCATTTTTTTTTCTTGTCAAAAGTCTTTGCACTCACTCTTGTATTAGTAAAATTTGATTTCCAGTT